AATTATTATACTCTAGTATCATAGGGATTCTTTTCTCTATATGCTAACGCCAAGCCATCCCTAGATTTCTTCTTATAAATGATGATTATGGTCATGTTCGGATTATGATTAAATTATCTTATTTTGTTATTTTTTAAAATAAAAATTCAATTAAATTTTTATATATTAATATCAAAAATAAATTTTATAAAATAAAAAATATTATTTTAATATATTTTAAAGCATAACTAACAACCTATCCAACCCAGTAAAATAAAATAAAAAATTTATTTTTTATTTTTAATTGTGTTTAATTTAAAAAATTAGTATTTAATATTATTCAATAACACTAATGATAAATTAAATGTAGACCGCAATCTTAATTTTATTTCTGATAATATTTTATCTGATGTTATTGACTGCTTAAGAAATCAAGAAAATTATAGTACTTGTCGGATGTATTTCCTATATGATGGAATTATAGATAGTTTAATTTAATAAAAAAAATATTTTATATAAAATATTTTGTATTTTATGATGTAATAGCAGTAGTTAAATCTACAATATTTAAATTAAAAACCATCAATATTAATATATATTTTTTAAAATTATTTTGCAATCTCGATTTGAAAAGCATTTTTAATCAAACACTTTAAACTACTTTTTTATTTAACTTCAATTTCAACTACAGTTTTAACCAAACACATATAAATACCAAACCAAAGTATTTTTTATAAAACTACTTTTTTCAAGTTACAATCACAAAAACTACCACAATACTAAATACACACCGTAACTTGTTGATTTTTAAGTTTTAAAAATATTTTTGAAAAAAAATTAATTTTTTTTTATTTTTTGCTTTAAATTAATATTTTTTTAATATTTTTAAATTATTTTAATTTATTGATACAAAAAATAATTTTTAAAAAATAAAAAAATAATTTTTAAAAATAATTCCAATCACAATCATAGTGTGTTTCCAATCATCTCAGTTACATGCCTAACCTGCCGTTGTTCCGGATACGAAAAGTTTGAAATCAAGGATGAGCGGGTAGCATATTTGTTTCCTCGTCAATCCCAATTTAATGTTAATATCATGCCAAAAATCACCCTCTCGAGATTTCATTTTCACGCGTGGACATCCAAAATTGATAGAAAACACCGTTCACTTTTGCTCCCATACGTGTACTATAAATAAATAAATAAAAATATATATAAAAAAAGAGATCAAAACGCAGGCCCCTCTCTTTGCATAGACCAACCCGTGTGTGGACTGGACAGCGCCATCTCAACTACCTTCGAAAGAATCAACTTGACAGAGATAAAAATATAATTTTATGGTTGAATTATGCTTTTTAAAAATTATTTAAAATTTTTATTTTTAATATTTTAAAATTATTTTAATATGCTATATCAAAAATAAATTTAAAGATAAACAAATATATTTTTAAATAAAAAATATTTTAAAAAACAATTAATACTACAATAATAAATACATTAAGAAAATATTTGGAAAAAGTTAATAATTATTTTTAAAGTATTTTTTATTTAAAAATTTATTAAAATTATTTTTAACAACAGAATTAAAAAAAATAATTTAAAATAATTAATTGTTTTTAAAAACAAACTTAAGAAAAAACGAAAGTATATTACTTCTCATCTCAAGGCACAGACAAAAGTGACGCTCTCAATCAAAGAACACGTCTAATTTCTTATTGACAGTGACACAAAAGTTTGGCATGTTCATTTAGCTCCCTCTGGGGAACCAATCCGATTGTGGGCCCATATGATATTTTCTTACCTCCTCTCGATCATCGTACACCTGCATCAATCAATCAGTTCATCCACCATACAGTGTAAAGATAGCGGTCCGTGGCTTACGTGCTTGTCCTTTTATTTTTCTTATTAATTTAAATTTCGATCCTAACATGTATAAAATAATTTCTCATTTAAATGCATCAAGATCTTAATTATCCTAAATTGATTCAAAATTATATTTTATAATTGAATAAAAAATTATAATTACAGGAACTTATTATATTATTTATGTATTTAATCTTATTATTCTAATTAACTCCAGGCTGACTCAGGTAAAAAAGTTCCACGGACACGAATAATTTGAACATAGTTAAATTTAAACTTTATATATTTTTAGGATTATTATGGAAATATTTGGTATTGTATTTTAAAAATATTTTTATTTTAAATTAAAATATTTTTGATATTTTCAAATCACTTTAATGCAGTTATTTTAAAAATAATTTTTAAAAAATAAAAAATTAATAATATATTTTTAAAAATAAAAAATATTTTAAAATATAATTCTACCTACATTTCCAAACACATATTATATATTCTGATGCCTTTCGACCTCTACATTGTACCGTAAATTAGAGATATAAAATTAATTGGAAAATAACATTCGATAAATTGGTTGTTGTACTTTTTTTAAAAAAAAAACAGTGAATCTCTTTATATCTGAACCAAACACCTTTTTTTCAATTAAAAAGTCTAAAATCATTTATTTTCAAAAGGTAGAACAATATCGAACATTACGTCATGGATAATTTTAAAAATAGTATTTAATGAAAACTTTAGACTATGCGTGATAACACGTTTGAATTGCATTGAAATTAGTTTCGATATGGCTAGATTACAAAAGCATGAACTCCTTTTTGTTATATTTTCAGATAATTTTAACACAAAATCATCAAAATCACATAACTACACATGCTTTATCTTTCTTTATCGCTAAATATTTATCATTCTTTCTTGCTTAATGTTTATTTATATGGTTGAATTATTTTTTTAAAATATTATTTTTAATTTTTAATTTATTTTTTTATTTTTTTATATTCAAAATAAATTTTTTATTTAATATATTTTTATAAAAAAACACTTTAAAAAATTATTTACATGATACCTATTATATTTTAGATTGGTTGTATGTTAGCTATTGTTTTATAAGATATGTTTTTTTTAAATTCATAAAAACAATGTTTTTTTTTAAAAAAATTATTTTTAATATTAAAACATCAAAACAATTTAGTAATATTAAAATATTAAAACACAAAAAATTTAATGTACAGTAATAAGCATGTGATGCCGATGCCCTCATCGCTAAACATCTGGCATGGTCATCGTAATTCATGAGATCGACCGTCATCAAATTTGGGCAGCGGAAACAATGCCATCTGTAGAATAATTCCTGTCCCCCTTTAATAAAGGAGATAAAAAATCAGTGGCCTATGGAGAGAAGGACATCGTCCGCCAGGAGAAGTACTCTAGAAGGGCCGTTAAAAGAACAGTTGACGACTAACCAGATGGTAGTGTTTTCCACCGTCGGATGAGAAGGAAAAGCAGCATTTCTTAGTCAGTGGCAGTACCATTGAGATATAGACGGATGGAAGGACGAATGCCAATGTGCCACGTCTAGCTTTTCATTTTCTCGGGTAAATAGAATGTTGTTACGAAATATTTAAGTGCATCACATCACTCGTATTTTAAGGTAATAAACGTAATCTACCAGCTTTGGATATATATATTTTTTAAATTAGCTTAGTCTTTTAATAGAATAATGCATTTGAATTTTTTTTTTGTGATAAAATCTCACATTTTTTTATTACTTTTTTAAAACATAATATTTACTTAATATTATTATTTTCAGACAAGACAAGGTGAAATTCTTGGTTTAACTAGTTAATCGGTTAATCTAATTAGATTAACTGTTAAACTGATTTACACTAAAATTATAATTTTATTTTTTTAAATAAAATTTTTAAATATTTTTCTAATTTATAAATAAAAATAAACTCTAATTAAAATCTAAAAAAATTATTATTCACAAACTCTAGATGTTATATATTTTTCAATATTAACGATATAATTGAGTTTATGATAATAAATGATTCTAATATCAAATAGATAATTTAAATAAAAATCTATGATCATGAATATTATGCGTAAATAATATAACATAAGTATTTATAAATAATATAACATAAGTATTTATAACAAATTTAGAACCAAGAAAAGGTTTAGTTATATCAAACAAAAATAATAACTTAAAAAAATAATAATTTTTTTTATTAATATAAATATTTAAACTAGTTTGTATACATTTTAATTAACTTAAAATGATCACAACTTTTAATTTTATTGTTAAATAATGGATAAAGTTTTATAATCATTATCCTCCTATCATTAAATATTTAAATTTTTAAAATCTTGTTTTAATAATTTAATAATTTTTTATCAATTATTTAAACTAACTAATCATGAATTTAAATAAATATTATGTTTACAAAGCACGAAATTAAATAAAATTTTCTCATTACCGCTGTTGCCAAAACTTTTGTGCTTTTGTATCGTTTCCAGCTTGTCGATAATACGAGCCAAAAATATTGTAAGTGGGTGGGTCCCATGCACAAGATAGTCAAGGGAAACGATTGACCAAATAAACGGACACAATATAAATGCTGTCAATCACAGGATATAGTTTTGTCAGATAAAATAATTTGTGGAAAAATCATAATGACTAATTGGAGGAAAAAGACCAAAATGGCCGGTCGACGGATCACGTGGTTGCTTGTGGAATGATCAAAATCCCCGTACGCGCTGTGGAAAATCTCCTCTCCCTTTTTCTTTATCTTTCTTTCATTTCATTCATTAGCGTTTGGAATCACGTCAAAAGCTGTTTGTTAAAATATATTTTTTATTATCTTCACATACTAATATTAAAAATTACTTTTGAAAAATCAACGCTGGAAAACTTTTAATATTAGTATATTAAAATAGTTTAAAAATATATTAATTTAGAATAAATAAAAAAACAAGTCTGAAGGTCTGTCCACTAGAACAAGAGCCTTCACTAGGCAGTGCGTTTTTTCCAGTGTATAGATCCACATTTTCCCTTCGTTTGACTGCTAAATTGCCTTTTCCGGTGGAGAAACAAATGCATTTAAATAAAGAAAGAAAAAGCTCCTTCACAGTCAAAACTGAGAACCTCACGTACACGTAGAGGAGAGAAAGCACATTGAAGCTGTAACGAGCTCTGAAATTGAAAAGAAACAAGAGAAAGAAGAGCTTGCGCTTCACTCCATGTCCCTGTGCTTTTTATTTCCTTTGACTATTTTCTCAACAAGCCCCTTCAACCCCTTCTTGTGCTTCCTTTTCTCTGTCCCCACTTCTTCCCTGTGCTTGTCAGCCTCTAATCCACCCTCTAGCTGCACACAGAGCTGATACAATACATCAGAGTAAGCTACGCGTCCTTTTAAAAGGCCATCGATTAAGTGGCTGATAAACATCTTTCCACAGGACTCACCTTCAGTACACGTTCCTCTAAATGGTCAAGTCTCTCAACGAGGGTGCCCTTTACTTCAGTCTCCATCATGACATAGCTGATCGGACGGCAGTGCTTCTCTAAGCTCTCTGGGGAAAGATCAACGAATGAGACTTTGCCTTCCCTTGTAAGGGTCCCACTTGATGGGGTGGATGGAGATGAGCACTTTGGAGGCCTGTTGCAGCCTCCAAGCTCCGCTAGCTCCCTCATCTGGTGATCATATGCACACACGCGTTTTAAAAACATATATGGGCCCAAACGAAGTAACTTTTCTTGATAAAAGAGCAAAAGTGAAGACCGCCAAGCCACAGAAAGTTTGATAGCTCGATTATTGTTAGCCAGGCTTTAATTAATGAGTGAGGAAAAGGAAGGCAATTACAAAACTACTTAATCAAACAGCTAATGGTACTTGTTTAACTAAGTGATTTGTCTTGTCGCATCGATTCCTAAGTGATTCAAGTAAAGAAGGAATATGCAGTAGATGCTAGCTGTTACTGCTAATTTGGCCGTGCGTGCTGGGACTAGACTGACCTTCACAAGCGGAGAAACCCATATACGGGCATGACTTGTTTCCTCCCATGTCTACTAGCTAGTTTTATCTTGTCATCTTGTTTACCAAATGTCTTCCATTTTATCAAGAGGAGGAAGAAAAACACCCTCTTTTCTGGCCTTCTAGCACCGACTAGCAGTGATGAAGACATGGGAGTATTTAAAATGTTCAGTGAACTTATTAATTAGGTTATTGATGCCATAGCAGCTTGTACGAAGACCCTCAACCTTTACCAGTTCTCTGATAATGAAATTAACATCTTGTCGGCCACACCCGCATTTAGCACCATGGCTCCCCGCAAAGTACAATCGCCCTTTCTTTTTTCTTTTTGATGCAAGCAATTTACTTATACGATAAGATTAGAAAGAAGGGAATTACCCCAGAACGAGATTAAAAACACTCAAACCTAAGAACAAAAAAGAAGGGGAAAAAAGCATAAAGGAAAAGATTCAAAAGGCCAAAAATCACCCAATGTAATAAATACTGTACATCTCAAAAGATTCAAACTCAACAGTTGATAAGCTTACCATGTTGTCTAAACGGTCCAACCTAGAGATAATTGGTTCTTCAGTGATCGCCATTGCAAAAACTTTCGCGGGAAACAAACAAAATCCTTGGCCAAGATTCGTTGTCCTCAGGCACTGCTTACTGCTATATGTATGTTTATCGCGCTTTGCCACGTTTCCAACATCGAAGGATTTTTGACACGTTCCAGCTTTCTACGTGCCACGCGTGCTGAGTGCATGTGCTGCTGGCACCGCTTTATTTATTTTTGTGTTTTTTTAATATATATTTTATTTTTAATGTGTTAATATTAAAAATAATATATGTTTTATTTTTAATGTGTTAACATTAAAAATAAATTTTTAAAAATAAAAATATATTATTTTTAATATTTTAAAAAGAACCTTTAAAAAATAATAATATCACATTCGACCGTATTAAGAACAATAATCACGCACGTATATGATTTGCTGTATAGACACGTCATCTCTTGCATGCAGGAGTGGGGAGATGTACCAGGTGGTGGTGGGGGGCGGGGAGGGAACGAGATCACCAAAGCTTGTTGTGTCAAGATAAATTATCTGTTGTGATAGCATCTTGAAGGTGATGCTATTTTGAATAGCTATCTTTATAAAATAGTATTTTAAATATAATAAGTATGGTTTTTATTTTTAAATGTATAGTTTAATAGATAAAAACTGGTTAAAAAGTTAATTGAATTAGAGTAGAAAAAATAAGTATTTTTTTAATGAGCTTAATGTTTTTTTTCTATATAATTGCATTTAATTGGTTTTTTTTAATTGACCTCATTTTGTTAGTTTTAGTTTTTTGAAGAAACATGTAAAAGTAATATTTTTTTTGAAGAGAAAATGCATTTTAATATTGTGTTTAGCACTTTTTTAGAGTATGTAAAACAAGTATTGAAAAGTCAAAATAATATATATTTTTTATTTATTTTGGTTTTTTATTTAGCACATCCTTTGGAGTTCTGATATGGTTTTTCCAAAATGTTTGAAAGTATACTTGCAATTATTTTTTTAAATATTTTTTTGTTAAAAAATACATTAAAATAATATTTTTATTTTTATTTTTTTATAAGTTATTTTTTATATTAACATATTAAAATAATCTAAAAATATAAAAAATATTAATTTGAAACTAAGAAAAAAACTAAAAAAATCAAATTTTTAAAAAAATTTAAAATACAAAAACAAATAGATCCTTTAAAGCAATGTAGAATCTTGAGTTTATGATATTGACATTCAATTTTGATTAGCATCCAAATATGGGAGCATATCATGTTATTTTCCAAAATTTAGGTAAAACTATATTGATATATTATTTAAGTGTGTGGTAAAGATTTATTTTTAAAATATTTTTATTTAAAAATATATTAAAATAATATTTTTAATTTCAGTACATCAAAACAATAAAAAACATAAAAAATATTAAAGCAAAAAAAACTTCATAAAATAATAAAAAAATAGCTCAACCACAACAATAAACATGCTCAAAATATATGACATTGTGTTTGACATTATAATAAGATACCTTTTATATTAGTTTTTAGTTTGAAAATATATTAAAATATTTTTTTTCAGTTCTTTTATATACAATTTATCAAAAATATTACATATTTAAAAGAATATTGATTTAATAATTTTTTAACCAAAAATATTTTAGAAAGTATTTAAAGTAAAAGCAAAAACTGTGAGAAACATCCTCTTAGTCGCTGAGACTCATCGGTGATTACATTGGTTGGATTTATGAGAGAGGGGAAGGTCGAACAGTTGTTAAGAAGTAAGTTTTGTCTTTTTTTCAGAGCCGAAGTATGCCATTGGAGACCTGGAGAAACACCTAGCTGATCCACACAACCCGTTTTGAAAAAGCAATATTGTCTTCGGACCCAAAATGTTAACTGGGCTTTATAATTGTATGAACACGATATGGACTTGCGAATATTTGCCAGCATGCAATATGCCCACCACTATACCACGGGTTTACTCCTCTCGTTCTCTCTCAATTGCTGAGAGTAGTGTAACTAAGAAAACGCTAAAAATTATTACAGGCAATTAGGCATAAATTATGACTTACGCTAGCTAGTGACGAATTCCAAAAGTAAGACGACTATCAAAGGTGATTGTCCCCAGCAGCCCATTCTCCAATCACCTGGTTTAAATTGTTGTCTGCTTGCTTGCTTTGCTGAATAAATTTACATTTCTGACAGAAAGGAGCTTGCTTGCAACTATGAAACTGCAAAGGAGCTTGCTGAGTGTGATTTTGACAGGGAGCAGTTTGCTTGCAAGTGTGGAGGCATACAGGACAATAGAAGGGTAACTAACAGTCTTCTTAATACAAGGTTTCTCTTGTAAACAGAGTCACAAAATAAATTGAATTTTTGTTCCACCAGCGAAATCTACAAGTTCACGTCCAAAATATTACAAACGAATCCCCTCATGAAACTGCAAAATAATTCTAGTACATCACCTATTATCTGCACATGTGATTAATACGAAGGCTTGCCGAAAAAAAGCATGAGGGAATCACTTAAACCCACTCACCACCTTACTTTTTTTTTTTTTTTTTTTTTTTTGATGAGGATGGCACCCGAAATGAGTTCGGTCTCATTTCTTCTCTAACAGTTGATGCCACACTGCTCAACATCTGGACCAGTAACTCTAGTGGTGAAGGGATCAACTCTCACCCACAACAAGGAAAAGATTGAAGCAAGGAGAATAGACCACACGACAACAATGGTGGGTGTCCGGTTCTGGCGACCCATCAAACCTTTGAGGAAAGGATAGAGATGGATGATCACCCAGAATGCGAAGAAAAGCTTGCCAAAGAGTGGACCCCATGACTGATAACCACTGTTGATTGCATGGGATATCCCAGCAACAACACCCACCAAGTTAACGATGAGGAGAGTTGTTGGCGGGACAAGTAGAGTTGTCCATTTGAACAAGTATAATTCAGCAAAATCACCGTCCTCGTCTGATGCCTTGGACGTAACAGTGAAGTTGGTGTCAATGCCAGCAAGTACTTTGAGCAAGCCTTGGCAAACAGCAAAAAGATGGGCTGAAACACCACCGATAACCCAAAACTGTTCATTCCTCCACCACTCATCAATCCCAACACCACTCCACCTCATCTCCAAGATGCCGGTTGCAAAGATGGAAAGAAAGAGAGAAATAAACCATATGCTTGCGATGTTACTAATCTGCAACAGAACAAGTGAAGCAAAGGCTTAGTAGATGCTAAAGATGCAGTGATGGGAAGTCTCTTGCAAGCTACACACAGCGGCAATACATTAGATGCCGATTGAATGCATATCTATAAACATAAATCACAAAATATTAAACCATTGAAATTGCAATAATTTTGGCAACCAAACCAAAATGCCATATTGGCAATATTTTTGGTTTCTTTAAAATCACTCGCAGATAACCTACTACCCTCCCTATAGGCAGTTCCCAAGTGAGCAGGGACTGCACAAACAAGGAGCACAGAGAAACAAATTGCCTTCAAGGCCAAGTTTGGACATACAGAGGTTGCATGGACAGAAACTGTGGTGTAACTAACCTGTGGAATAATGAATTTGTCTGTAAGTAGACAGATAGCTGGAAGTGTGCAATACAGGAGAAGAGGAATGGCGGTGATTGGATAAATGGTAGTGTTTACATATGCAAACCTCTCAAGCCATTTCAACCTACCACCATAGCCATACCAAATTGGACAATGCCGACTGAGAAGAATTTCAACAGAACCCAGAGCCCATCGAAGCACTTGGTTCAGACGATCAGAAAGATTAATAGGAGCAGACCCTTTAAAGGCTGGGCGCTTGGGCATACAATAAATTGACCGCCAACCACGGGCATGCATCTTAAAACCAGTAAGAATATCTTCTGTAACAGAACCATAGATCCATCCAATCTGCAGTTTGAGAAACAAGCATCCAAACTCTTGTGAGGAATCAAGAAAGTACAACAAAGTTAAAACAGCTAGAGTAAGCAAAGCTTGTATGCAGGCAACAAAATCAAACTAAATTTGAGATGCTTGCAATGAACAGATCAGTTTCAAGGTTTGCCTAATCCAGAGGCTTAATTTAGGCCTGTAAACTCTGGTAGGAAGGATTATCTTGGTACAGAACATATTTTTGCTCATTATAGTATATTACATCCTCATCCTTAACATAACTATCCCAAGAACATCAGATCACGGTCCTCAAATTCATGAAATACATAAATCTGCTTAAATGTGCAGATGGAACTATTGGCAAAAACAACTGACAGTGCCCAAATGGAAGTTAAAGCAATAAACAAAAGAAATAAACATACCTCAGATCCCCAATCTGTTTTGTCCTCATACCCACAACTAATGACATGAATAGCTTCTTTAAGAAGAGTTTCTGGTGTTGCAGACTGAGGAACACCGCCATTCTCCATAAGTGTGGAAGCAACAAAAACTGCTGACTGGCCAAACCTCTTCTCCAGGCTCATTTGAGACATGAGAAGTGACTTCTCATCATCAAATCCAGCTCCTGAATTTACAAATGTACATAAAAAATCTTAGTCACACCTAATATGATTCAGTAATTTGAAACTGAAGAAACTTCCAGCAATCAATTCATGCTACCCCAGCAAGATCAGTTGGTACTTGTATAAACAATTAACTATATGCTCACAAGTGAAAAACATGACGATGTATCTAACTTCCACACTAAAGGTTGCAATAATATTGTTTCAATGACCAGTATAGAGTCATGGGTTAAACAAATTCAGTTTCATGGTTGACTTATCAACTTTAGATGTTAAAGATACTGTTGCTGATAACCCTAACCTGCAGTAAGAAAATGAATAAAATGCCTTCTAATAATATATTTATACGAAACAGAATGAGAAAACAAAAAATGTACCTTCAACGCCTTCTTCTATATCGTCCAAGCTGAAAATGGGTACAGTGGGATCTACATGCTTTCCAGATTTCTTCTTGTCAGATCCCTTTTTGCTTGATTTAGAACCCTTCTTTCGTGATCCACCACAGAGTGAAGACAGCATGCCTGGTTTCTTATGCTTGGGTTTGAGGGGAGGTTCATAACCATACAATGCTGTCCTGTTAAAGACACATCCAGTACCCACATAGACAGGTCCTTGAATACCATCCAGACCCCTCAAGTTTATCTAATATTCACACAATAAATAAATAACATTAAGCAATGGCAAATAGTTTTATGCCGTACTACGATCAGCCAAATCATCAACACATAACAGACATAGCACAAAGCCAAAAACAAAACATTTAATGACACCATACTGGAAAGGCAAACATTACTTAATCAAGAGATGAAGAACTTACATCAAAGAATACAGTATTGCGATTGGCATATCGATCATTCCTGTCAATGCCATCAAATCTTTGTGGAAACTGAACATAGCAGACATGTTTCCCAAGGTTAGGATCCATCATGAAACACATAGCTTCTCTCAAAGCCTTGCTATTGTTTATGTAGTGATCACAATCAAGATTCAACAAGAAAGGCCCATTAGTTAGCACGGCTGATACGCGAACCTGAAAGAAGTGCAAGTGAATGTTTAAATAAGTCCAGACCTGAAGAAATAATAATACATACTTGTATACTTCATATAATAACTCCTATAGTTATCTACTCACAAGTGAATTCATGGCACCAGCTTTCTTGTGGTGCTGGAAGCCTGGACGCTTTTCACGAGAGACATAAACTAACCGCGGAAGCTCATTACCATCAGAATCAAGCCCTCCACTTTGGCCCAAGAAAACCTGAAGGTGAAAATGAGAACTTTCTTAGGGTACTTGTGCTTGGGATATGAGTTCATTTGACTGGCTTCAGCGAACTCATGAATCCAAATTCAAAAATTTGCAAAAGTTGGAGGCAGAATAAAGAGCATGAGGCTGGACATGACATGACTAGGGAAAAAAAAAACTAAAAGAGTATACGAGGCAAATAACGTGCAGTACAACAAGATACAAGAAATTGTCTGGTGTGCACAATATCATAGATATTTTTAACATTATAGGCTAGAAGAGAAAAGTTTCCCAAAGCTTAAGAGAACATGCCTAATCAATGAAAACTTGAACCATAAAGAAAAGCCAAAATGCTGTTACCTGAATCATTCCTGGATGGTCTCTGGTGTTATTTCCAGGCCATGGGGTCCCATCTTGCATAATCCATCCTTCTTCAGGCACCTTTTGCGCCTTGGCAACAAGCCCATTGATACGAATTTTAAATTCTTCATATTCTCTCTGCGACAACAGGAAGTTTGCCATAAGAAAGGTTCAACTATGGAAAACAGTGGCATGGCTAAGTAAACAATGCACTGAATTGATACCTTCATAGCTCTACGGTCTTTGACAAAAGATGGCTGCACTTTATCCTTCAAGTAGTCAATCTTCTGTGCAAAGTACCATTCTGGAGCCCGAGGCTCAATGCTGTACTTCTTGCAGAAGGGCACCCATTTCCTGGCAAACTCTGAAGTCTCAGACAAAGCTTCAAATGTCAACATTGCAGCACCATCATCAGAGACATAGCATGAGACTTTGTCAATTGGGTAGTCAACGGCAAGAATAGATAGCACTGTATTTGCTGTCACCAAAGGGGGCTCCTTTAAAGGGTCCACAGTACTGACAAAAATGTCAACGGCAGCTAGCTGGGACGGTTCTCCTTCATTGTCATATCTGTTACCCATATAGAACAAAAATCAAAATCATAAATATGGAAAAGGAAAGGTTATCATTACTTGAGAAGCATGGGAAGAGATTTGATTGCAGCACCAAGGGCAGATGAAAAAGAAACCCTACCTCAAAGCAAGCCTGTCAAGATATGTTTCACGATTTACAGGGAGCCACTTAGGGAACTGATCCAGTATCCAGGATATTGCAAACCAAATCTCACATATCACAGATATTAACCACAGAGCATACGCATTACGCACAGGATTTGTTATTCGGTAGTGCAAGAAAATGCAGAGGATAACAAGCCGCAAAACAATAACCATCCTGTATGGATTAATCCTAGAAGAAGGAACGGAAACCTTCCTTGAAAGAGGTTGCCGAGCTTCATCATTCCTGCAAGAACACAGGCAGGAGTATTTGAGTGTAGTTACCACCTAGTTTTCTATTCTCCATTATTGCTAACTGCAAATGCTCCAATTATCAGAATAGATTGCAAGTGATGTGAAAATTTGGAAGGCCCCATTACATTATTGGTATGGATTACGAAAACATGGTAAACGTAACCACATGCAAACTTACAGTAAAGAGTCATCCACAAGCACATCCGTGGCAGCATCAATATCTCCAGCACCCCTTTCAGAAGGAGCATGGCCAGTACTTATAGGAACAACAGTCTTGTCCTGCTTCATCTTCCAGCCATCAACTCTTTCTTTCCAGGCCACATTGCCCAGTCCCGGTGAACCGAACTCCCTTACTGGGTCCACAACCCTCACATTAGCTGCAAAAAACATCAAGAGTAAATGCCACGTATGACCACATAGCATACAAAAATATAACATGAGAACAAGGGATGTACATGATTGATGGACATCAGATGCATAAGGGATGCGCTTCCCACCACCAGCACCAGGAGAGGCCATAGAAATATGATCAGGTGATGCAGCAGACAGCTCTCCAGAAACCTAAAAGTTATATGTAGGCAAAGATTAAACTCCAGGCTTGCATTAAAAAATCATCTCGATTTCAAGTTTTGATTTTATTTTTATGTTTATTTTATTTGTTTGAAAAAGAAGAGCAACAGCATACCATAAGCTGATTGACTTACCTCTTGTCCACTGGTGAGTAGTGGAATATGGTTATGCGAAACCTCTTTATCATAATTTGGAGCTCCAGCATCTTCCCCTCGTCCATAAGTCATCTGCCAGCTCAGCATGCGTTCCGCAATCTTCTGTTTCTGGTTTTGATTTTCTGAAGAGTAATTAAAATCACTAGCACCATCGTCAGCATCACCATCCTCTTCTCTATCACCAAGAATGGCAGGGCTGCCTGAAAGACCTCACGGTTAATGCTAAAACTATTTGACAGTTATTAACATCATACAAAAAGTCAGTTATCCGGTGAGGAATTGACTTGCTATCAGCCTTTATTTATGCAACTCCTCCTCTTCCAAAAGAGCTGGCTTTTGATGGCATGAGAATTTTCATTTTCCATTCCATTGCATGAAAGAAACGATTTTCACATTATTATTAACGTCCAAACACTAATGTGATATTACGATTTAAAATTTATATGCACTTAACAAAAATAAGTTGCACTCGAATCAGAGTCACAATCTCTTCATTTTCTGACATTGAATAAAGCATACAGTGAGACAGTGTTGTTCAGCCTACCTTTGAGCCTCTTGTATCTGGTTTTGCACTGAGGGCAAGACTGATTGCCATGCTTCCTCTCGTATTCATAGCAAGGCCTGCACACTGGAAATGCACAAACATCGCAAGCAACAAACGGTTCACCATCCGCGTTCTTGCCAACATTATCACCACAGATCTGGCAAACTTGTCCACCCGTACTTTTCATGGGCTTCGCCTGTGTAGCCAAGCAAAATGCACTCATTTCAGAAACCATATAAGGAGTTTCAATGAACCTAACTCCAAAGAGCAATCTAAACCAGACTAAAACACTCAAAATATATACTATAATCGTCATCGGTACTTACCCCGGTTTCACCTTCTGATTCCATTGAGACCTGCTATCTTTACACCAGAATTGAACAGTCGATAGAAATAACTGTAGGGCCTCACCAAACTCTATGCATCCCTAATCATACAAAGAGCTAAGAAGTGTCAGCTTCTCTCTAACTCTCCACTTCAAAACCAACCTCTTATCTCCCAGATCGACTGCACAAGGAGAGAAAAAGAATCAAACTGCGCTGCTCGATAAATACACAATCACACAAAAATATATATATCCAGTAAGCAAAATAAGCCACCAATTAAGTTCACCAAAAAGAGGCTAATCAGCCTCAAATCTCTAGAAGAGCATTATAAACAAAGCAATCAAACTCGAACTTCCTTTTGATTTTCAGAAAATTACAAAATTGACTTAAAAAACAATAGCTCGAGCACAAAATAGCTAGGTTTGTTGAGCTAGAAAAAAAACGACACACTTTTTTCCATCCCCTGGAAATCAAATTCAATTTGACTAAAAAAACTCCACCAGATCTCAGAATAGAAAACAGAAATCAGAGAGTGAACAGTGACCTGCAGACTCACGCAGTCGAAGACCGATGCTACAGAGAAAGAATGAGAGTGGATTGAAGGAGGTGGTGAGAAAGAAGACCAATGCAAAGCAACAGCTCTGTCTCTCTATATGTTTATTTAAATAAATGTAGAATTAGTTATGGATTTTGTTTTCGTGGTAGGTGTAGCGTAGCTGTTATCCAGACACGAAAGCAACGACACACCAACTGCGAGTTTTTCAGTGACAGACTGCACAGACCGACGCCACTTGAGAAGGAAATAATTGCAAGGCAATTCCGGTATTGAAGATAAGAAAAAAACAGATCATACATTGCCTATCATTTCTTCTTACAAATATTATTAATTTTTTGCCCTTCTGCTAAAAAATCTAGAATGAAAAACAGAGGTGGGAGACAGTTGTTCTGTCTTTTGACTACAGCTGCTGCTGTTACGGTTTTTCTTTCTATGGGTTTTACTTACCCAGTAGTGTTGTGCCACGTAAGAGTGGAAAGGTAATGTTTTTTTCAACGGCTACAGAAACAAGAATGTCCGAATGGAAGGGCATTTGGCTCGAATATTTTATATAAATTAAAAAAAAAAAAAATGTCCGAAAAGCGTGTTGAACGACAATGCCTGTGCAGCAGTGGGGAATGTTTAATACCACCCTAGACGATCTCTTGCAATTACACATGTTTAGGTTGTTATTCCTTCAATTATATGTTTTTTTTTAATTTTTTTAATTTCATTAATTAATAAAAAAATATTTATATAAAACTAAAAAGTAAGATAAATTGCATTTATTTGGGATAATAATTGCAGTTATTTTTAAAATAATTTTTTATAATAAAATATATATTAATAATTTTTTTATTTTTTAAAAATTATTTTTAACATTTACATATCAAAATAATTTTAAAACATTATAAATATATTAATTTAAAGTAAATAAAAAATAAAAAAAATTTAAATTTTTTTAAAATATTTTTAAAATACAGAAATAAATATACAAAAACCTCCATTATAAAGTTAATCACACTTTACTTCCCCAACTTTCTTTTTATTTGAGTTCCCGAGGACCATTTTTTATTAAAAAAAAATAGACATGCTTGTGTAGGTTTTCATCCCTTCTTTAATATTTTTCTCACATCACATGTTTTCATGAAACGTGTATGTTATTAGATTATTGTTTACGATTAAAATTAATAAAAAAATATATTTTAAAATAGAAAGTAATTTGAAATATTTGAATAAAAAAATATAATTTACAGGCTAAATTAAATTTGACGTGACATGGTCAAAGAATAAACATCATGAGGTATCAAGATGGCTTTTATTTTTTAAATAATTAAGATTAGAGTGATTATTTTCTGTTATATTCGGTTTTTAACTATAAAAAGTAACTTCGGTTTTTAATTATAAAAAATAATTAAATTAATTTTTATTTTTTAAAAGAATAATTGAAACCGAACCAAAACTAAATCAAACCAATCTATTTTAATTCTATCTAGTTCGGTTCTTTATTTCCAAAAACCAAAAAAACCTATAAGCTAATATTTCTCCACGAAGCAGCCAGTAAGGTGCCTTTTCAGTTTAAGACAAAGGATTTCATCAAAAGAGCAAAAACTTCAATAATTTCCAAAGCCCTTAATTATCAACGTGCCCAACCCGACACAAAAGAACCCTTAAGAAAAACTATAACTGCCCGGCCCGGACCGGCCCAAATCCACAAGCACGTAGAGCCTTAAGAAATGCGAAGCCTGGTGATGTAAGTTGAACGAGCACTGGACAGGCATCATGTGATTTAACACTCTTGTTTGTATACACAGCATCAAATTTTTTTTACAGATTTATTTTCTAGGGTTTTGTATTCCGGAAGGAGATACATGGCCTCTTTTGGCTCTCTAAAATCTGCAGTCTTCGACAGAGAAGAGAGAAAACAGTAATTCTCTTCACTTACTCTTTATCTTGAAAAATTTAAAAATGAGTGGGACATATTCTTCAATGGACTTATCATTTTTTTTTTTTAATTTTTGTTGTTTTAAGGCAGTATCAATCTCATATTCGAGGCCTCAACGCTTACGATCGCCACAAGAAATTTTTGAACGATTACGGTACAATCACCGATTCTAATTTATTTCTTTAATCGAATTTAGTGATTTTGCTGTATAGATTTTTCTGTTTAAATGGATTAATAGATATTTCGTTGTTATAAATTTTTTTGAAGGAAATGATATTGTTTTTTTTGTCTTTAAAAGAAAGGCTGAAATAAGGACATAGAAGGAATTGATGCAAATACGAAGCAATGTGTTTGTAGAGTATTCCTTTCCTCGATGTCCAAAAGCAAAATGGGATGGTGAACAATCTCCTTCTCTAAGAAAGGAAGGAGGCTACAATCATCCTTATATTTCTTTTCCTTTCTTTTCTTTACATCGCTTGCAAATTATTTCTCATGACTGTTTTTTCTTCTCGTGTGTGTGTGTTTGTATAGGCTAAGTTTTGGTTTGGAAAAATATATATCAAGATTATAACTGTTTTATCTGGGAAATTTCGGGATATATTTTGACATTGGTGTTTTTGTGCAGTTAGTTATTACGGGAAAGGAAAATCTACCAATGAGAAGCTTCCGATTAAAACAGACAGAGACACCCTAAGAGAAGGATACCGGTAAGTTGATTCACTCTGGATTTTTTTTAATCTTCTTGTGTTGCCTCGTTATCAAGCATCCATGAGATTGTTGGTGATGTTGATCATTTATTTATTTATTTATTTGATGTATAAGTTTAGCTGCCCTGGAAGACTTGGATGTGCTGCTTATTTTTGTGATTTTTTGTCCAGCATGGATGCCCTAAATAACTTTTGTTAACAATGAGATCAAACTGATAATTAATCAGGTTTGAAAGATGTATTAAAGGAGGTGAGTGCCAATTAGGAACTATTTAGCAGTTGGCACAAGCTTGTTGGCATATCTTTTTTTTTTCTAGTGCAATTACGTGATTTACATAAGGAGTCATATGTCTCAATTTAGTGCTAGAACAAGAAAGGGCAAGGAATAAAAACATTGATTTTTGAGGCAGCAAGAGGGTATTACTTGATGTCCAGTTAAGCATGGGGATGATATGTTTCCATCCAACCACATATGTTAAAGTTTAATTCACTGTTTGTTGTATTATCATTCATTTCCTTTCATGCTCAATTCACACCGAATCATTTTTGATCTCGAATCCTATTCTGTGACAGTTTTGATGGTGGAAAATCCATCTACACCTACACGGTTAACGTGTCTTTTTTTTTTTTACTACCTTTCTAATTTAGACTCTGCAATTATGTCATCTATCACTTTCCTTTAATTTGTCAAGGTTCATACGTTCGGAGGAAGATGATATGGATGCATCCTGGGAGCAAAGGCTTGTGAAGCGTTACTATGATAAGCTTTTTAAAGAGTATCCTTTGCGAACGGATGTTTGATGTTCTGAACTATATTATGGTTAAGAACTATCATATGTTCTGAACTATATTTGTACTACTACATCTAAAATCCTCTTTAATATGCTGTGGACTTCCTTAGACTCTTTGAAGATATTGCATTGCTGATATGTCACACTACAAGGTTGGCAAGGTATGCGGTTTCCATTACACAAAGTCATCTAATCTGAGCTGTAATGAATGAAACTGTCACTCTGATGTGCTTGAGAATATATTTCATTGTTACATCAAAAGAATAAAGTGAACTGGCTGCAAAATATGACTTGTAGATTGGATTTTCCTTTTCTGACATTGCACAATATTTTCTTCTGGCTTATTTTTCCTCATCCCATATGGTCTAAACTTGGCATTTATTTCATCTTTGTTAGAGGACGGTATCTTGAAATGCATTACCCCATCTTTCTTCTTGCTGGGAAGTAGGGCAAGATTTCTGTTTTTCTGGCTGTTTGCCTCTCTAAGTCCTTTTATCACATGGAGAAACCTGAATAAAAAGCATATTTGTGTGGTGAATTGAAGCAGCATTGCCAAATGTTTTGGGAATCTCAGGGTTCTGTGGAAACTACGTTATTGGATTTGGTATGCACAAGTTTGTTGTTGCAGAATTAGTGATTTCTTTTTTTTTTAGAAAAAAGGACATGTGTTTCTAAAAGGAAAAACAGAAAGGATGCGTTAAACTGCTACATTGCACGCCAAGACTTAATACAAAATCTTTCAAAACACTCAATGGTGAGTTGCATTCTATTTGATATAATATTTCTCTATTTTTGAATTCTTCCTTACAGATTGGTTTGAGATGGAGGACAGAGAAGGAAGTCATATCTGGAAAAGGTAATATTTTTTCTTTGCTGGTTATTTTAGTTACAGTCTCAATCACACACATTAGTGATTTTACTCAAGGATTAGATGCCATTTCAGGAAGCAATCCGTCTTCTTATGTTTTTATCCATGGAAACACTTTTATATATACTGTTAACTGAAATGCTGTGATAAACATGCCTGATGCGAAACTGTCAGCATCACATCTTTATTACCTGTTTTGCACAACTAGAAGCTCATTCAGGTGTTGAAGTATGGGTATTACCACAACATTTTACTCATCCAAGCAAAATATTAATTATCAGTCGGGTCTTGGTTCTAATATGCAAATGCTACCATCAGATCTTTTTTAACTCTCAGGCTCTAACGCATTAGTAATCTAAATCTAAAAATATATTTTTTGAATATTTGCGTCTGTGCCCAAGATTTTTGAAATAGACTTTTTATTAAATACTGTCAAATTTTCCCTTCAATTTTATGAGTTTAAAGGATGCTAGAGAAAGTCGGGGCTCTGGAAATTTTTGTGATGCTGAGTTTTTCCACAAAAGGCTTGTTAAAACTTCTGGTTCTATTCCTGCTTGTATGGTTACTACTTTGCTGCAATATCGATCATGATGGAAAGGCATTGAAAGAATGTCTTGTTGTTTGGGGATTGGAAATTGATTTATTCCCCTTTCTGTCAGGGCAGTTCATTTGTGGTAACAAGCATTGTGATGTGAAAGATGGCTTGGCAAGCTATGAGGCAAGTGTTTATACTTCCAGCAATAAATTTAATAGCATTATAGTTGCATGCTTGTGTATAGTTTGAGCATCATTACATCTTGCTCTCTCAATTTGGCTACAGTTTCATTCATCTGTATGATCTTTGCATTCCGATGCCTGCAGGTGAACTTTTCTTATTTTGAAGCTGGTGAAAACAAGCAAGCCCTGGTGAAGTTGATACTTTGTGACAGGTGGGTTGGTTATCTATAAAGGTTGGCACGCCCATTTACTTTTGCTTTTGTAATAGACTCTGTTTCTATGTAGCTTTAACTGTCCCCAGAATCCAACTAAATGGTTATGTGAAACGTGGTGTGCCTTGGCAGCATTGCTGCAGATTTGGGATCTGAATAATGCTGTAGTCAGAAACTATTTCACTTATTTATGACTTGTAGGTCTTATCATCTTTGTATGGTTTTGTCAGTTATCAGTTCCGCCTTATTGATATATGGTGCCTCTGCATAATCCTTTTTGTTTTTTTAGCTGTATTCAATGTGATGCCCTACTATAATGTCAGAACAGATTAGTTAGGTATCAGTACCATCTAAATATAGAACTTTTGCTGAGGAGTTTAGTTAATTGAATTCAAAATTCACATGAGAATGTCATCATCTGGTATTTTATTTTGCCTTGGGTATCTTTGCTTTTGTTCCCATGAAATACATCTCCTTAATGTATTTCATATTCTTTAACTTCATTCCAGTTCTTTTACTAATTCCTTTCTAAAATGTTAACTGTTTCCAAATAGATGTGCTGAGAAACTTCATTACAAAAGAAGAAAAGAGAAGGAACAGATAGAGAGAAGGGAGAAAAGAGATCGTATAAGAAAACGGTATGAGCACTTTGCAGATTCTTGTCCACTTGTGAACCTATGTCCTGGTAAATTTTTATTGTCCCTGACTTGCTGTATAGAAAGCTAACGGTCCAGCTTTCAGGGAACTACTTGACGTTGTTGATGATTTGGACAATGAAGGGAGCGAGGAGAAGAGAAGAGGTTTGTGGATACAAATAATGATAACATATTTATTTTTCATTTACAGTTTCCTATGTGATGACATTCACTTGTGGCTATTTTCACTAGCTGTTTGTGTGTCCTTCCAAAGGTGCCATTATACTTCTTTTCTCAAAGTTTGAATTGGAGCTTTTGTTCTATAGAATTGCCTCCATATCTGGAGGGTCGCTTTAAACAAACAAATGTTACATGTGACCTTAATCCATCTCAAGTTGAACAACTTTTGGAATAAAGGGAGGATTACTGGACTTCTGTTTAGTCAGCTGTGCTAATACAAGACTAAGGGCAATTGCCTTGAAAACATTAGTAGCAAAATAAGCTTTGGTTCTACCTGATTGCTAAAGGGATTTTAGAATGATGTCTAACTGAAGCATAATAATTTCTGTACTCTTCCTGGAAAGAAATGTTTGGCTTCATGGCAATATGTTTGGCCATAAATGGTGAACTCAACACCTTTTACCTTCTTTTCCTTCGGCAGGTAAAAAGCCTGCAATTTCTGGAGGCAATAAAAAAACAGACGATGATGACAACTTTGATGAGTTTCTTGAGGGAATGTTTCCATAACTGGACGGCAGCTGCCATATCCAAGGGATGGTGTTCTTGTGCTTGACATATATGACCAGAAAGTTTGGAAGGCATGGTAGGGACCTGCTAATGGAGCTACAGTGAGTTGAAGTCTGAACCTTTTTCATGCAGAAAAAAATTGTTCACTCAAGGATTTAATGGAAATATTTGTGTATTTGATGAAACGAAGTTAAGGCAGAAGTTTGTACATATACTGGGCAGTATAATATGTTTATCATGCGTTCCTGCAATCCAAGTGCAAGTAAAAAAAACAAGATGCAATCCACGTTTGTTGACACCTGATTGTGAGATTAAGTAAAACCCAGGTTGCCATTTATGTATAATGTAATGCTACATCAATATGTGAAGACTGATGATAACTGCACTTCTCGAATCACAAAAGCTTTCCTGGGATAGCCATGAAAAGAGGAGAAAGGAAGGAATGCATCCTCCCGTTCTGGGGAAGAAGAGTAAGAAGTGAAGATGAAATGCCAAAATGGTCAAGGAAAGGGCCATCGACTCCTGTTTTGTATTTTTCTTTTCTAGTTTTCTCATCACAAGTCATTGACCTAGTTGTCGATCTGGATGACATTTTACAAGTCTGATCAACTTTACCTACTTTATATACGTTGCCTCCTGTTTTGTATTTTTCTTCTCTAGTTTTCTCATCATAAGTCATTGACTTAGTTGTCGATCTGGATGGCATTTTACAAGTCTGATCAACTTCACCTACTTTACATATATATATATAAGTGCATGAAATTCATTTATGCTTGTCTTGTAAAATCTGAAAACATAACACAACTCAAGATCTTATGCTAATTTATTTTACAAGCGGGATCGGGATTGAATGTGGGCGATAATTCTATCATGTTTTTAAGCACAAGACAGTTTCATCTTATTCTTTTTCATAAATCACAAAATATTAAAAGGAGATCAAATTTAATTGCTTTAACGGTTCAAGTAAATATCATGCTTGGTTAAAATCATCCCTGAGAACTAATATTCGCTTTATAGACAAAAAAGATGAGTGTTTTAGGATCGGCTGAGTGGTCTTTTTTAGTTCATTAATGATTTTCTAGATCGGTCTTAAAATAAAATCAAGCCCATGAATCCTTGCATTCCCTGAGATATCTCATGTTTATCATTCTTTTTATGAGAGGCCTGTCTTCCGATGGACAAAATCTTAATTCTGAAAAATAGTTAAAAAAGAATTGATTGTCGGCAATGAACGATTTTCTTGGATGCTAATATATGCATGTGAAAGAGAAGTTGTTTGGTGAGGCACATTGCTCATCGTTTTTACCAAAACACCAACAAAAAAAAAAAAACATGAAAAGTCCACGAAATAAGAGAATCTATAACTGGGCAGCTAAATAAATAAATAAATAAAAATTATATTTTTAAGTTTTATGTTTGTTTCTAGACACTTTAACCCGTCAGCTAAATAATCAGCTAAAATTGCCGTTAAAGACAAAAAGTGTTTCTTTTATATTTTTCTATAGCAAAAAGCAAAAGTAAATGATAATATTGACTATCTTTCTGAAGACAAAAGTATTATTTTAATAGTAATATATAAAACTGAAAATTAAAAATATTGTAATGATACAGTATTTTAACAGTAAGATACAAAATAGCCACCAAGAAAAAGTCAGGCCCAGAACTTACGGAGTTAGCTCTGCATGACGACAGCAGCTTTTGTCATCTAACCATTTGCCACCCACTAATGGCAGCAGTTAGCTTATACGGAGTTAGGATCACCCGCTGCTCTCCACGTGGCTTTATCTTGGTGTGCTACAGCCAGTATGTTAGCACGTGTCTTCCGGCTTTATCTGGGTGCACTACGGCCAATATGTTACCACGTGTCTTCTGACTTATCCAATAGTGTAATGATAATTATTTTCTAAAGTAATTTTTATTTATAAATATATTAAAATAATATTTTTGATATTAATATATTAAAATAACTGAAAATAAAAAAATAACTTCAAATAATTTTTTTTAAAATTTTATAAATTTTTTTTTGAAAAAACAAAAACAAACTGGCTTTTCCAATCCCCGCTATCTTTTGGTGGTCTGTCCATCACTGAACTAAGCAGTAATTACTAATTACAACGGAGTTGATGCTTTTCTGGCAAGTTTATATATATATATATATATATATATATATCTTACCGACAGCCATAATTCTGCCTCCCCGTCCTCAGCCCGTCTAATTCTCCAATCCTCGAGTTAAGGTAGTGATTATGGCATATCTCAGATATTGTTTGTCCTGCAGTGAGTTCACCTTATTTTTAAGCTCTCAGACTGCATGTATATTCAATTCGTCTTAATTACACTTAGCTTGTTCGAAGTGATCAACAAGTTTGCAGACAACCTTATTTCAAAAAACCACAATAAAAATCAGTTAATGCAATGAGCATTTGAGAATAATAAAAGAAAAATAAATATCAAACTTACTTTAGTATTTAACCCCACTCGACTGCGGAATGTGTTTAAATTTTTTATTTTTATATTTTAAAAGTATTTTTAAAAAAATTTAAATTTTTTTATTTTTTATTTTTTATAAATTAATTTCGTATTTTTAAATAATTTTAATATACTAATATCAAAAATAATTTTTAAAAATAAAAAATTATTAATATATATTTTAACACAAAAAATTATTGAAAAACCAACATCAACCACAAACAATAACACTCTCAACAGTTTCATTTAACTTTCAAATTACGTTAGCGATTTTGTTCTTGTTTTTCTAATATTGCTTCACAGAATTATTTATAAGATTCTTAGATATTTAATGTTAAATCTCTTTAGCATCTAAGATGAGAGAAACTAGAAACAGAGGATATTATATGTTTATTATTCTTGATTAAAATGAAAATTCATTTGTAAACGATGGTTAAATGAATTAGTATTAATATCTGTATTTTCCCTCTAAAAAAAATATCCTTTTTGAATTAGAAATGACAAGTCAAAGCCTTTTTCTTCTCTCTCTTTTTTTTTTTAAAAAAATGAAAATAAAACAGAAATACTCATCAAATATTCCATTCATTAAATCTCACCCTCTTACAAAAAAAAAAAAATGTTTAGATTCAAGAGGGATTGTTCCCTTCATAAAATGCTTAGATTCAAGAGGGATTGTTCCCTTCATTTTAATGCAAATTAAGACTATATCTCATTACATATTAGATGATTTTAAAAGATAACTACATAAATCAAATAAATTTAAGAAATTAAATTCCATTAAATATGTTGAAACTAAAAAGATCAGTAGAAAGCAGACATTAATTAGTTATAACATCTAATCCTTTGAGTACATGCTTTAAATATCAATGCCGTTGCTAAAGAACGTGGAAGATAGAAAGTTGCTGATGAAGAAAGGATAATTGCTTTACCTCATATTTTTTTATTGTATTTTCATTTTTTTTCAATTGGAATTGGTTAGGAATTCTGTCATTTCCTTTAGCTTTCCAGCCTGTCATATAGCTAGTTGAGTGTAATATATATATATAATTCAATCAAATAGTTAGAATAAGAAACATATTACAAAAAAAAACAAAAAAATTAATGGTATGAACTCTTTTGTTTTTCACTATTCCTTTCCCTTTCTTTTTCTGCAACCTCTATCATTTTTTTCATGATATTAAAGCTTATGATTACTTAGCTAACTTCGGAAAAAGAAATCGAAAATCAACAAACACCAACAATTGCTATGAAATCAACCTCACATTTCCCAACTTATCAAATCAAGATAGCCATATTATCTTGATCATAGTTTTGAAACTCAACCTGCTTGATAAGTCGACTTGGGACTCAATCGACTTAAAGCTAAAATCCGGTCGAGTTTAAGAAAAAATAGGAAAATGCAAAACTCGGGGTGACCCAATAAACTAACCCAATTAACCTGGTAAGACCCGGTTAAAAACTCAGTTGCAACCTGTTGATTTTTTTTACAAAAACAATGTCGTTTTGATTTAAAAAAAAAAACATAATTGACCTGGGCGACTCGGTGACCCGATCAAAACCCTTAACTCGGGCCTTGAACAGGGTCGAGTTTAAAAACTATGGTCTTGACAATGATGATACATCATTTCTCAATTTGGTCACTGATCTCTTAACCACATAGAACCATATCCCTTATACAAGGTCCATAAAAAGGGCTTTTAAAGCAAAAAACAATCTTGTTTTGCTGATTACAGTATCATAAAACCCTCAAATCCCAACTATCCTTTTCTGAAAGTTTGGGAGAGATGTAATAATATAATTTTTTCTTAGATTCATAGCTCTATAAATCCTTCAGTAAAATCTTTTTTCGTCCTTATTAATAATGCATATGAGATTTAGAATGAACTATGTGAGAGACTTACTCAACAAAATAGGCCATAAATTTTTCAATTATAAAAGCTCTAGCTAACTGACATGACTAAAAAATTGATGTCTTCTCCCAAGTGCAGGAGTGTCGAAGCAAAAAAAAACCCGACAAGACCGGGGTTGAACTATAGAGAGGTTAATTGTATAAATTATAGATAACAATAATATAACAACAACAATAACAACAACAATAGTAACAATAAAAACAACAACAACAACAACAATAATAAAGAAGTTGATGAGAACTTTGAGATGAAAAATTAACGTAAGGATTAAACAATGATAACAATAAATGTGAAGGTTAGAGGATCCAATAATGGTATGTCAAACAAGTATAATATAAACTTTTATTATTTAATGGAAACCACACACGAAAGAGGTTCTAATTAGATTATAAAGTGTGAACATAATTATATTAGTTATCTTATTCGATTAATGCTAATACTTGTAAATATTGTCAGACATTCATGATTATAACTTATGTTAATAACAAATCAAGTTCTTTTCATAGCTCAGGTGTTAGATATATTATATATTATGTGCTATGAAAGTGTCAAGTATTTGTTATACCAAGTGTTATACAACATAAATCTAGATTAGTCATTTAACAAGCAAAGTATTAAA